TGACAGAAACTACAACAGACGACAAACTCGGTAAATATAAAGTTTCAAAAAATATCTTTCAAAGTTTGGTCAGATGTTTGTAAATCCTTTTTTGTGATTATCTTGAAATATCTGTAACCCCCCAAATGTAACACACAGTGGCGTTGCTACATCTGCAATGACCCCGCAATTTAATTAGTGGTTTACAGATAGCGATACATATTGTAAAATGTAGCATTCAATTTCAAAATTGAATGTGCGTGTACTTTAAAATCGAATTCACATTCAAAATTAAATTGATTATTTATATATGTAAGATGACAACAACAAATACTTCTCGTTATGTGACACTATGCCATAATAACATAAAATAAACATTTTTTTAGTTGAAGAATACGTGACATGGATCATAGACAAGGCAGCCGACACTCTGAGACAGGAGTTGCCTAGCAACACAACCACAGTAACAGCGTGGCCAGCAGACGACAACATATCATTGTCCTCCAGTACCCTCAGTCGTAAGTTATTTGGTTGATGCGCAAGTATAATTGTAACTATATCCCTGTTGCCGGGGAAGGCCATAGGATAGCTGATTTCTTTTTTACATTTTGCCTGCCCCTCACTTCAGGATAAATACGAACGTTGCGGCTTTAAGACATTATTTAAGCTTCTAGCAGTCTCCGCAGGGAGGGGTCTTACCAGAGCGAGGCGCAAGGTAAAACTAAAATAATGCGTTTTTAAAAATAAATTATGAATATATTGATAATTCTACATTTTCAACAGTTGTTTAAGACATGTATTATTAGATCAATAATCGCTTCCGTGCTATTTCTCTGCAACTACTGGTAGGAATTCAATGAAACTTTATTGGAACCTTCAATACCAATATCAGATGAGCATATCATCGCCTTGCTCCAGTAAGACCCTTCATCACAGTGTTATAGCCCTTCATTGGCTATGTAGTATGCATATAGAGCAATAATCGTTTCTACGCTACTTCTCTGCAACTACTGTCTAGAAATCCAATGAAACTTTATGGGAACTATCAATACTAAGAGGAAATGTGCATACCCTCCCCTTGTTCAAAAAGGCAAATTGCATCTCATTTGCATGTCCAGTTAATACTATTATACACGGAGTTAGGGCTAAATTTTTTTATCATGTACAAAGAGTATTACTGTTTATGTTATGATCAATATATAAATAAAGCCTATGTCTCCAGTTGTTGTTTAAGTAATAACCAGTACTCGGCGAGAGATACAAATTCAACGGCTTTGCTTGTTTTTTTTTACCGCTGACTATTGTTTTAATGTCACGGGCATCTAGTAATTGAACCATCCGCCCGTCATCCATCTGTCCGTACGAGGTTAACCTAAAACGGCAAGTTAGGTTTTTCTCAAGTTCTATCTAAATACCAATGGCTTCATACTTTACTCACTAACTAATCAACACAAAGTACATGATATGGGCAAGTTACATAAATATGGCTTTCATTTTAACCAAGTTACTGACCTTTTCAGTATATAGAATATGAATAATAAGTTAACCTAAAACGGCAAGTTGGATATATCTGCAGTTCTATCTATACTAATGGATTCATAATTTACCACACTTACTTATCAATACAAAGTACATGATATTGCCAAGTTGTATAACTGTGCCATCAATTTTCCCAGTTATTTTCCCTTTTATCGCCTTGATGGTTACTTGCAACATATTCCGGCAAGTTGTACTGATCTTAAATATGTCCTAATTACTTCTTTTATTTAATGATATCTTTCATATTTGGTAAGTATATACCTAAATGTTCCTCTAATTTTATAAGGAGTAAAGGGTGTCTAGGGTCAAGGTACAACCTTTTTTTATTGACAGATGTATTTCATATTTCAAAGGAAAATAACGTGCATGGTATTCTTCATTTGGATGGAGTTAGGGGTTGCCAACTTGGCTCAAGGTCACCAGCGCTTAAAAATAGTTTTTTTTACACTTTTGCACATACAGCCTTTATGTATTGACAGATTTATTTCATATTTGGTTGGAAGATTACTTTCATAATACTCTTCCTTTCGATTTAGATAGGGGTCAGTGTGTCAAAGTCAAGGATGCCAAAAATAGATTTTTATATAGCCTTTCGTTTTTGACTGGTGCTACTAGTATTTATATTTGGTAGGATGATCTCTTGCATGGTCTGCCTCCTTTGGATTAAATTAGGGGTCATGTTGGGTCAAGGTCATCAGTGCTAAAAATAGATTTTTTCCATTTTTGCCCATATAGCTTTTATTTATGGTCATATGTCTTTCATATTTGGTAGGAAGATAACCTGCATGTTATTTTTCCTTTCGATTGAATTAGAAGTCAATGGGTCAAGGTCAAGAAAACCAATTATAGATTTCTACACATTTTCTTAAACGGCCTTATTTTTGACTGATATTTTTCATATTTGAAAGGATGATACCATGCATCTTTGGATTGAGTTAGGAGTTAATTGGGTCAAGGTCACCAGTGCTAAAAATAGTTTTTTACACTTTTGCCCGTATAGCCTTTATTTATTGACATAATTTATGTCTTTCATATTTGGTAAGAAGATATCTTGCATAGTTTTTGGATTGAGTAAAATAAAAAAGAGATTTATATGCATTGGCTTATACAGCCTTAATTTATAGCCTGAAGTTTTTTATATTTGAAAGGTACATACATTGGATAGTCTAGTGCTTAAAGTCACAAAGTCAATGTCACTTGTAATGACAATATCTTTTTTACACTTTTTTTATACAGCCTTTGTATTGTTTACCAATATCTCATATTTACAAGGAACATACCTCAGGTAGTCTTTAGGTTTGAATGGAGATAAGGGTTGCTGGGTTCAAGGTAAAGTCTTGCATTAACATGTAAAGATACAAGTATTATATTAAGTTGAGTATTTTTCAACTTCATCACAAGTCATAGCAATGACTTGCAAACTTATAGTTTTCACAATTATAAAACGCCATTATATATAACTGTGTGGCAATTTTCCGTCCTTTATTGAGTGAATGGGTAAACATTTTTTTAAATATTGTTACTGACAAGTATCTGAGCCGGGGGCATTTGTGATTTTTCACATTGACTTTGCCACACTATTCCCGGTACTTTTCGGACAGGTACTCATAAACGGCTGACATTAACCCTGATTATCTTTTGTAAAGATAATTTTTGTTTTAATTCCGAGTTGATACTTTTTAGTGTATGTGTACACGATAAAATAATTTTCTTACAGAAATTGCTGATATGGCTGTAACAGAGAGCCTGTCAAATATTATGACATATGCCGACATCAACCACTCTGCTATAAGAGCTCCTAGAACTGTCAAAGAATTCAAAGGTAAGAATGTATGTACAGTTTTTTGCGACAAACCAAACATTTAGCCATACAATACTTAATACGTTATTTTCATATATTATAATATTATATAACAAATTAGGCGTCTAGCCGACCAAGAGAAAACTTCTGTCGGGTTATTTTTTAATAAAAACCCCGTCTTACGCTTTAAAAGAGCAATTGTTTCACAAATTTATTAAGTGAAAAAATAATCGTTCTATATTATTTTACAGAAGCATTTTGCATAACCGGATGTGACATCACTGATGATGGTCTTCCACCTGTAAGTGTGTAAGGTAAGAATTGATGACGAATTTAGATTTCTTTCCATCAAATCCATTGTTTAAACATTTGGAAACGTAAAGTATGTAAACTTAGGTATGCGTCCTGCAATATTAATACAGATTTAAAGAACTCGCAAGCTGAAACCTATATTGCAAGAAATGTTTAAAAGGCCCATTATGCCCCAGAAATGTTTTTTTTTTATTTCTAAAAACCTTTTATTTTTCAGTGTACTTTTATAGTTTCCAAAAAGATACTCATTGACCAATTACCTGATCCATTATTTACCTCTGTTGCTTTTTAGCAATTAGTACAATTATAGTGAATAGTATTTTGTATGGAAGTCAAAATACTACTTTGTTTATATTTTGTTACTTTTGTGACAAATAATTTGTCATAAATGGTTGTTTTTTTCGAAAAAGAAAAAGCATCTAACATGCTTTAATACCATTATTTAAATGTTATAAAACTCATGTTTGTCTTTTCTAAGGAAGTAAACATATATTCGTTTCTGAGGCATTATGTGCCTTTAAGTTTGACCAAAGCTTTCATTTTGGTCAAAAACAAATAGTAGGTTTCATGATAAGATAACTTTATCCTGAGCTAATTGTAATTTGACACACATTTAGTCCTTCCTTTTTCAAACAAAATTGGTCCAAGTGAATTTTACACTAAATTTTAAATCATTGACCAAGTTCACTGTACGCAATCGCTCCTTTTAATTGTTATGAATACATATTCTGCTATTGAAAAAAAGGTCCGAATATGTTGATATAACACAACATTCCGATATCAAGTACATGTATATACAAAAAACAATGTACATGACTGAGAAAACTTCTACCACACATTAGCCCGTGGCTTGTGTTATCTTTTTCACACTTTGTCTAACCACGATTATTCCAATATTCACGAGGTTTGACGGAAATGACCGAAAAGTTAAGATCTCTGTAGTTGTACCATACGTAATTATTATGATTATTAGGATTGTGTTCCTGTCGGAGTGTCCTCTTTCTCTGAGTCTAAGTTGAGCAAATTTCTGAAGTTCCCTAAAAAAAAAAGCAATATTGAATAAATGAGCCGTGTCATGACAAAACCAACATAATGTTTTTGCGACCAGCATGGATCCAGACCAGCCTGCGCATCCGCGCAGTCTGATCAGGATCCATGCTGTTCGCTATCAGTTTCTCTACTTGTAATAGAAGTTGGTAAGCGAACAGCATGGATCCTGATCAGACTGCGCGGATGCGCAGGCTGGTCTGGATCCATGCTGGTCGCAAACGAATTATGTTGGTTTTGTCGTGACGCGGCTCAAATATGTTAAATTGATCATTCCTCAAAAACAAGCTTTTTGTTACCCAGTTTGTTCTTTAAATTTCAGATTAAAAGAAGAGGAAAGTAACCCCGTGCACATGTGTCTATGTTTGTTTGTTGTTTTGCTGTTTTGGTATGGCTGTTGTTTTGTTTTTCTTTTTTTGTTTGTTTTGCTTTGCTTGTTTTTTTTTATATTACTGTTTTCGTCTTTCCATATTCTGCTCAGGCATCGATTTTATATCTTTAAATATTATTGTCATAAATATGTTTCTGAATTTTATTTTTGCTAATAAAGTCCATTGAAACATGCTCTTGTCTATAATTTTCTATCTTCCAGTAAACTGCTCATTGAAGCAGCAACAGTTTGAAACATGTCGTAAGATGCTATTCCTAAAGGTTTGGTAACACAAAATATTGCAAGGGAATTTATCAAAAGATTATATAGAGGATATTGAATGAGTGAAAGTTCAATACTGAATTTATTGCACTCGTTGAATAAAATAATATTATGCGAGCCTCTTATTGCACTCGTTGAATAAAATAATATTATGCTCGCCTCTGGCTCGCATAATATTATTTTATTCAACGAGTGCAATAAATTCAGTAATGAACTTACACGAATTTAATATTCTATTTATCACATACCAAAAATAAAGACCGTTTAAAGTGAAATAAGAGTCACTTTTAATTGACGCGCCTATAGTATAACGCGTCTTTACACTTTGTTTGTATAACGCTAATGACGTCACGTCAAAATATATGCACGGCCGTGCAATACCATATTTACGGAGTCGCAAAATCGGCACGTGTGTGTGATAAAATTAATTAAGGCATGATCCATAGAAGCTCAACACAACAACATAATGTCTTACCATGCGCAAGACGCTGGTAAACTTAAATAAGTTTGTGTATGATTTTTGTTGCCATAGATCAATGCTGATCTGTGTATCATGTTGATTAATTTGAATAAACGTTTGCATGATCTTTGTTAAACATGTACAATGGAACAATCTATTCTTTAAAATAGAAGAAAAAAAGAAGATAAAAAAGAAAGAAAAAAACCCCAACAACATTGTTATACTAAAAATGTTTAAAACAAATGAGCCGCGTCACGACAAAACCAACATAATGGGTTTGCAGCCAGCATGGTCCCAAACCAGCCTGCGCATCCGCGCAGTCTGATCAGGATCCATGCTGTTCGCTATCGGTTTCTCTACTTGTTATAGGGTTTGTAAGCGAACAGCATGGATCCTGGTCAGACTGCGCGGATGCGCAGGCTGGTCTGGATCCATGCTGGTCGCAAACGCATTATGTTGGTTTTGTCATGATGCGGCTCAAATAATGAAATGAGATCGCTGGAATGCATGTGTGTACTGGATGTGCCTCTGTAGTCAATACACATTGCACGGGAATTACTAATTATTCAAAAGTAAGTTGGGAAAGTTAGAAAATTCAGCACGTGAAAATCGTGATATCTGTGTTATCATTTTTTTTTACAACCGAGGTGTATAAACTGTAAGTGGAGTTATGTTTACGCGGCCTACACATGCCTTCTTATTATCACATATTTTTGCAACATCAATGATTTGCTTCAAAGCAGATGCAATTTCCGGTCCTATTCAAGGTAAGTGGTTTTATTGGTTTATTTCTTGGTGGTTTCAAATATTTTCAAAAATGAAAACATAAGTTTGACCTCGCTACTATTATAGCGTGTCTATCAGATTATTTAATTTCTTAGCACATTAGAATACATTGTAAATTTTTAGAAAGTAAAAAAGTGCAAAACTGTAAGACCCTTTTCGCTGAAAACGACGTCCGTCCACATGTGTTTGCCGAGTTTAAAGTGTTTGCCGAGTTTAAACCCCGACACCAATACCCCACCCACCCACAATACCTCAATCCCCTACGCCCGACACCATGGACACACCCTCTACATACAATCTTTTTGTAGACATAAATATACACGTTTTACTTTTTGTATTACAGTCATATTTCTGACAAATAATATAACTGTACGGGCAAATTGTCAGAAATGTATATTTCTGATTGTATAATAAGTAAGTACATTTTTTGTGAGAGTTTTGTTTTGGACAGGAGGGGAGGGTGGATGGGGGAGGGCGAAGAACGTTCTTGGGTCCAACGTGCCGAACACATAGTGAGTATATCTGGATATAAAAATCGATTTATATATTGAAGTATTTTTTCTTCACAAATCAAATAAAATATGTACATGTACTTATTTCCGACAGCCTCTTGACAATGTAAAATAGATATTAAACATTTACAACTGAAATTAAACATTCATTTTGTCTGGGTCGCAGATGCAAAGAAGTGATAAGGGTTGCATGGTATATTGTCACTTCTGTGCACATATTCGAAATGTTGTTAGAGATGATGATGACGTCTTACGTCTCGAGCGGACAAACCTCTACACCGTATTTATCCTATTACAAGGTGACGCGGCAATGTGGAAAAAAAACGCAGAATACAATTGAGCCGCATCATGACAAAACCAACATAATGGGTTTGCGACCAGCATGGATCCAGACCAGCCTGCACATCCGCGCAGTCTGATCGGATCCATGCTGTTCGCTATCAGTTTCTTTTTATAGGGTCTGTAAGCGAACAGCATGGATCCTTATCAGACTGCGCAGGCTGGTCTGGAGCCATGCTGGTCGCAAACCTATTATGTTGGTTATGTCGTGACGCGGCCCAATTGATGAAACGAGCACCGTATCAAAGCTCATATTTGATATTTGAAAATACTTGTTGCTATACAGTCTCTTTTAGAATGTAAAATAAAATCTTAGTTTATTTTTCTCAAGGTTGTTTTTCTTTAAATATTTTGTTTCATCTGGCAGCACGCAGCTTTAAGAAAGGATCAAGTCAACTAGTCCAGTTATAGGGAATACAGCTACCCATATCATATACGAGGCGGATTCTGGTAGTCAGATTATACATTATCGGTAAGAATTATCTAGATTTCAATAAATATCTACAATAAAAGTTTTTTATAAGGTGGCACAGAGGTGACGTGTGTGTGCTTTTTAGCTTGACTATTCGAAGAATATGAAGAGCTATTGCAGTCGCCCCGGCGTCGGCGTCCACGTCCGCGGCGGCGTTGGTTAAAGTATTTTGTAACGTGAGATATCTCAATTATTGCTTGAGATATTCAATTGAAACTTACAATACTTATTTATAGTAACAATGTACATCAGATTGACAAGTTGGATAACTCTGCCTACAATATTTACAGAACTATGCCCCTTTTAACTTAGAATTGTTGGTAAAATTTTTTTGTAAAGTCGAATATCTCAATTACTGCCTGTGATATTCAATTGAAATTTACAATACTTTTTTATAGTAACAATGTACATCAGTTTGCAAAGATGCATAACTCTGTCTGCAATTTAATTTGCAGAATTATGCCCCTTTGAAACTAAGAAATTTTGGTTAAAGGTTAAAGGTCTTAAAAACTATCAAAGATATTTACTTGAAACTTTACACATGTACTCAAGGTTATAATTGAAGGTCACATCTCATCCATTACTCTGCCATGCATTTTGACTGATTTATGCTCCCTTTTGTACTAAAAATCTTCTTTTCTTGGTTAAGTTTTACATGCTAGTTTTGCAAATCTCTGAAACTATTAAAGATACCAACTTGAAACTTCATATGTATATTTGCAGTCATAAATAATGATCACTGAACAGCACTCATATCTGTGTCATGTATTTAGGCTGATTTATCTCCCCCTTTTTACTTGGTTAATGTTTACAAGTTTTACATATCTCAGTAACTATCAGAGATTTTGATTTGAAACTTCACATATGCATGAAGGGTCATAATTGTATGTCACTGACCAAGTTCAATAACTCTATCTTGCATTTAGGCTGATGTATCTCCCCTTTTTTACTTAGTCTCTTGGTTAATGTTTACATGCAAGTTTTACATATCTCAATAACTATCAAAGATATGTATTTAAAACTTCACATATGCATTTAGGGTCATAATTGTAGGTCACTGACCAAGAGCCATAATTCTATCTTGCATTTAGGCTGATTTTTCTCCCCTTTTGAACTTTATATTTAGATCAACATAAAGGTGCAATAATTATTACAGAACAATAATTATCATTTCCAAATGTACTTTTCTCTCAATACATTTCCTTTTCTAACATGACTGACCATTCAAACTCCAACACGTCAATTACAAAACTGCTTACATGTTCCTTGATTTTAAAAGGAATTTGTTGCATATATTTTTATAAACAAAAATAAGGGTTCCTGATAATGTAATCTTTTTACACATTTTTATTCACAGGTAGAGGCCTTTTTGTGCCCCCACGTTAGTGGCGGGCATTTAGATTTACCCTTGTCCGTCCGTCCGTCCGTCCGTCCGTCCGTTTCACTTTTGTGTCGCACGTAACTCAAAAAGTATTTGACCTAGAGTCATGAAACTTTACAGGAATGTTGATCAGCATGTGTAGTTGTGCACCTGGGTATTTTCGTCTGGATATTTTTAGTATTTTCAGAGTTATTGCCCTTGACTTAGTAAAATTTTGCAATTTTCAACATGTGTCGCACGTAACTCAAAAAGTATTTGACCTAGAGTCATGTAACTTTACAGGAATATTGATCAGCATGTGCAGTTGTGCACCAGGTATTTTCGTCTGGATTTATTTAGTATTTTTAGAGTTATTGCCCTTCACTTAGAAAATTTTTGCAATTTTCAACTTGTGTCGCAAGTTACTCAAAAAGGATTTGACATAGTCATTAAACCTTATGGGCAGGTTGCTCAGCATATTTAGATTTGCACCTGGGGTTTCGCTTGTGGATTTATTCAGTATTTGTAGAGTTATTTCCCTTGACTTAGTAAAAAGATTGACAGAACAGTGGCGCGGTGGGGGCACCCGTGTCCTATGGACACATTTCTAGTTTATAATTAATGTGTACTCTTGTGTACAGAAGTACTTTTGTTATCATAAATATTCACATCTTTATTAAGACACCATTACACATTGCAATTTGACCGAAAGTGTACTTTGTTCAAAAGTGTTTATGCTTTGTTCAAATGTTTATTTGCTTTTATGATATTCAGATTCTTATTGGTAACTTAAGCTTATGACCGCATCTTCCATTTGAATATTCAGAAATACTAATAAAAAGTACCAGTTGTTTCATATATAACTGCATCTTTTTGAATAAATATTTCAATTTT